TAATTCATTCATTCATTGCTCGTGCGTAGATGCGTAGAGCACGCGCGGATCTCTCTCGTGTTCCAGTCTCTCCGACGAGAGAACACGACGATCCGCGCGTTCTACCATTGCGATTGTTGTCGAGGAATTGTTAGCGTCGAGAGTGTAGCCGATCTTCGCTGTGAAGTTAATTGATTGACGATCGACGAGACGATGGTTTATTATAATATTGGACAGTAGTACGATGCAGGCTGGACTATGTCGTGGATTTCATCTCGCTGAGAGATGCTCAGCGGTGGTACACGAGCGGTCGTGTACGATGTACCTGTACATGCATGTTAATGGTTTTGTCCTCCTACACGCAGAGATGCAAGAATAATGAATGAAGCATGCCATCCACACACGCACGCCCTTTTCTATATGTATGATCGCTGACGAAAGTGTTGGAATATTTATTGCAGCCTGTGTCTGTCTGTCATGTGAGATATTTTGAAAATAAATGCCGCACCGAAGTCAACCAAACATTCACGGAGTGTCTCTGAAACAGCGGTAGAACCGATGGGTCGTTTCGTATGCACAAGTAAGCGGAGAAGAAAGAATAAAGTACATTCGCGTGTCTAGTTTCAAATTGGACGAGGAGCGAATGATCGAGGATACTCCGCTCGTGAAACTAAGTCGACACCTCGTTTTCAAGAAAATGAAATTTAAAGATTTATCAAGTACACGTGCACACGTGTAAACTCCATTTTCTTGGAAACGAAGAATTTTTCCGAGAAGAATAACCTTTTATTCGCTACCTTCCAACTTTTCGAATATCGTTATTTTATATTTAAGTCGAGTTGCACCTGACAAATTTTTGAAAAACTCAATCTTCTCGAAAATGAAAACAATTTATTCCTTCTTCTCAATTTATTTGCGCGTGTGGAATTATCCTCTGTCCGGTCGTACCACAGTTTCAGGAACACCTTTTATATAAAAACTGCAAGATATTTAACACAAGTATATATTCCGCAGAGATTACAAAGTGTAAATAAATATCAGATTAATTGCAAACTCTCTCATTGCAATTTTAATATTTTACACGACACTCATGATATATTTATAAAAATTCCTCTGTGGCGAATATTCAAATACTTTCGTGTATGAACTCTTCACTGAACACTGAACACCACTCATTGTCAGTAGAACGTGCATGTTTTCCCCGCCTGCCTTACCTTAGGTCACTAATCTACTTGTGCATTTCCTCTTGATCTGTCTCTTTCTTTTACCTCCTTCTTTCTTCTTCTTCTTCTTCTTTTCTTCTTCTTCTTCTTCTTCTTCCACTTGACACAAATCGCGTGCAGACGTTTTGTAAAAGGATCCAACGTAAGTATACACGTACATACGAAAAGGAAAAGTATAACAGTCGGAATAATATAAGGATATGGCTGATCAGTGACGTTCGAATTGCAAGTGGAATTGGCTGTTTCTCGTCGGACGTGAGTTTCAACTTTTGAGACTTCGAGTCGCCCTGCTCGAATCGAACCGGCGACACGAAGACATTGTGTGTTATAAACAGCGACGCAATATATCCGGAAATATAGTCGTTATTTGAAGCCTGACATGTGAATTGCCACGTCCGTTTAGAACGATTGAAGTAAAGAATATAACAAAATAAACACAGATAAAAAAAATATACGATAAAATGCAATATTTTGCAAAAATTAATTGTTACGGTGTGTTTGTATATTCGATTAAACGATTTTCAAATAGAAAAATATCTTTTGTCAAAATTGAATGTCATTGTGTGATATATTGAATTGCACTCGTATGTTGAATTTCATTCGATGGAATGATATGATTCTATACGGCCAAATAAATATAGAATACAGTATTCAGTGTTTCGCAAAAATCAAATGTTATTGTGTATCATTATATTTCATTCTGTTTTATGTCGAACGGACTGGCGTGGCAATCAACAAACCTGTGAAAGAGACACGAATCTTCTTCCGATGTATAATTTTATTTAATTCTTTTTTGAAAGGCTTTGGCAAATTTCTCGAGCAGATCGAGACATAAAAGATCTCATAAAAGATAATCTTGGGTAGAAATTTTGAATTGCACGTGTAACACTTCTGTTCAAATATTTACAGCGAGACTTCAAGAGAAGCGTTAGCCTCTTCAAATAAATAAATATTATATCATTGAGGATATATTATATTGCATTATATATATTACACTAAACTATATTATATAATCGAAATTATAGTCGTAATACTCCTCTTGGGAAAATGTACGAAGAAATTCACTCGATTTAAAAAGCAAAGGATACTTCCTACCTTGTTTGTTAATACATCGATACTTTACAGAATATTATTCAATTTTCCAATTCTGAAACGGACGTAATCCTCGTCTTAAAACTTCTGAGCGAGGGTGCGAGGCTTTAACCAATGCGTCCGACACTCCTTTGAAGCCGGTTTTCTTCGACTCGTAATTTATTCTCATCTCGACTTTCAGTCATCATTCCGCCCGCGTTCGCAACGTTTTGCATATTAATCGCGCTTCCCCGAAGCTGTTTAGACGGGAATCGTTTTATCCGGAGGTTCTACCGGACTGCAATGCGAGCGACGCGGGGCGTGGTGCCACGGCTGCGCTTTTCGACGTCTTTCGATCCTCACGAGGCACCTGGTCGCTTTCGATGGACAAAAGAAAAAAAAAAAAAGAAAAAGAAATCAAATATTCCCAGCGAGAGGAGAGGAATATCGACGAACCTCGCGGAGGAAACGGAGATATTCCGTTACGACGACGTCCTTGATATTTGTCGTCGCGTTTTCACGGCTGGCCGAGTCCCATTCGGCTCTCGTAAGAAGATAAAAATCTCGATCTTTCTATAAGACGTGGCAAGCGCCAATGTCGAACGATCCTCGCGAGAGAGCGGAGAGAAGAGAATCTTCCCTCCTTCGGGAAGACAAACGGGCCGGAAAAAAGCGGCCGGTATCGCAGATTAAGAGAAGAAAATCGGGTGAATGGCATCTTGGGCTCCTCTCTCGGCGAGCACCCTTCTCCACGAGTAGTCGTCTCGGTGTATAAAAGCAATAAGAGCCGCGGCGAGAGCCTTTGAATGTAGCGAGCGAAGGCGGTAGATTTCGAGTTGAGGATGGTTCGGGGTTGAGAAGGCACCGGGCGATCGATACCACGAGCTGCACCCTCGTCGCCGGTCGGTGTTGTCGTGGCCGTTGCTTAATTATTAATCGCCTTCAGACCATCGTTTCCAGGCTACTTTGTCGTAGGTGCAGTGACACGTACCAAGGTCAGGATTCTCCATGTTTATTCAGTCGTTCCCCTCGTCTCTCTTTCTCTCTCTTTCTCTGTTCATTGTACGAGCGCTTTACCTTCGACGTTGTCACATTTTCGCGCTTCGTCGGAAATTCGAGCGATGACGAAAGTATTCGAGATATTTGCTCGTCGTAAAGAATTCACGGAAGTGTATATAAATCGAATGTTTCAGAGCGAGCGAGGCAGCAATTTGTTTATGTTATGTTGTTTGATGGAAAATAACGACGGTCCCATCGAACAATAAAATCGCATATAGAAGCTGCAAGATATTTAAGAAATTAATTTACAACGCGAATACCTGTTGTAAATTAATAATAATAATCATAACAGTAAATCTTGAGTATTGAGTATTGAAGCTTGTTGATATAATCTGATTTTTATAAAATATATGCTTTTCCCACGATAGCAATAATAATATAATAGAAAGTTCTGTCAGCTCATTAATTTATAATTTACAATTCCTACTTCCTCCAAATACCTCGTAGCTTCTGCGAACGATACGATTGTACGGTAGTTTCAAACTTCGTTAATATAACCACGACAGTCGACGACGTATTGCTAATGAAATTTCAGGACGTGTAATACAGCATACGCGTAGTAAAACGTTTCCGTAAACTGTTCGAATACTTTGGCAGGCCACTGTTCCCGGTGTCATTGCCGTCACAACGCGTCCCCCGAAATGTTAAACCGCGTTTCTGCAAACGCACTCGACCACCGTTCCGACGATTGCACCTGTAATTTCGACAGACGAAATCGTGCAACCATGAGCTGCGTACCATGCCCTGGGGGGAGGGGAAACTATATCGGACAGCCCGTCACTCTCGATGACACTACGCCAATCCGTCCATACGATTTAATCGACTGCTACTCTTCGCGCATCGACGCATTGCTCATCCGTGAACTGCAAAAATTCCCTTTCGAAGCGGTGTGTTCCACGGCGAGCATCCACGTGGAAAACTCGTATAAAACAGCGAAAATAGAGAGAGAGGGAGGGGAGTGTAACAACGTCGCGATTGTGCAGGGACGCAAAATCCAGGTCGCAATTATTGTAACTGCTCTTCAGGGTTATAGCACAGCCCCTCTCGAGT